GACGTGTGCTCTTCCGATCTGGAGAGGCAAAAAAATAAATTGGCATTCTCACGAGAATGGGCAATGGAGGCCCATTGTATTTTTTCAATATTCAAAATCTCATATTTCGAATATAGTTTTTATTAGTACGCTTGAGAAAACGGTCAAATACAACCAGAAGCGTCTATTCTGACGGCACTGATTATTCAAAATGCAATATTTAAAAATTATCGGAAAGACGAAAAAATTAATTGGTTGCGTTCTCACGAGAATGGGCGATGGAGAGACCCATTCTATTTTCTCAATATTCGAAATCACATAACATGATTTTGAATAACTGTACGCTTGAAACTTACAATGTACTGTAAATAGATTTGTAACTACAAATATATATAAACAGTACATAATAAAAAATTTTTTATTACTGATTTTTGGTCTAATTGATTTGAAAAATAAATCGTACTGCATAAATTTTTGCATAAGACTAAAAGCAATTACAGAGCAATGCATATTTTTGTACACATAACTTGTATAATCTCAACACATAATTTTTATAGATGTGTATGTTTATAATTATGTATGCGTTTATATCTATGTGTATACATAATATGCATTATATACATGCGTTATATTTTCAAAATTGCATATACCAAATCCAGTATGTAATGTATTGGAAGAATGCAATATTACAGAATATTCTGCTAAAATTATATATACGTTTGTGCTACATTTATTACAAATAGCCAAGTATATATATTTTATATATATATATCGGATTTATCCTATATGACGTTAATACGTGGTATACGTCCATGCCGACGACACGCCATTCATACGCGCGTGTCGATACGCACGTCGCGTACGCTCTGATTTTGTCGCGATGGAGAAAATCGTCAGCTTATTAGAAACACAGCAAAAGGTCGATTCTAGGGTTATCACTGCCACGCGATGATTTTCACTGTACGTACAAGTAATTTACCTTTAATTTTCGTTAAAATACAATTTTTACTTATAAAAAATACAGCGAAAATGTTATGAGAATAGCGACATGATTGCAGCAACGTGAGTCACTGCGCGAAGAAAAGTTAATGATTAATTTTATAAGCCGAGAAATATCACTTTTGTAGCAATGAAAATCTCATTGACGCGATAGAAAAATATATTTTATTGACATAACAATAGCTTTGCTAGAGTAAGAAAAATATAGAGAGGTAATTGCCTATGATAGCCAACATATGTGTCGTGTGAAATTCTTACCGTTGTAATGTCTAAACGCACATACACACATACTCATTTGCGTGCCGCACGGCCTAGAATCACAGTTCTTTGCATAAAGCCAGAAACTCGTGGCAAGTAAAATTAACGAAAATATTTAGTATTTTTTGATGCCAGTATGAATTTATAAACTTCACTCTCTCTTCGTAGCGATTTCCAGCGCTTGTTAAAATACAGCCGATATTGTATTCATTTTTTTTTGTAATCTTGCGGAATACAATATTGTATTTGTATAATATACAATATTGTATTTGTATAATATACAAATATTAATTTGGTACTCAATGATTTAATTTTCACTTTTATCATATTGTTTTTAACGTAAAAAAATCGAGTTTGGCTGGCCAAAATTCCTCTCAATGTTTTTTTAAATTATTGGACATTTTATCGTCGTATGTCGTGACAACATTTTATTATACGAAATAATAAAAAAAAACAAATAAAAATATTATTTTTTTACCGAGCGTTACAAATCGTTCCGATTTTTTATCTGGCGAGGCAACAATTGTGTCATTTCCTTAAACGAGGAAGACAGGGTTAACCCAGAAGATACCACGAGCGCGTAAAGGACAGCCAACCTATTTTTTCCGAAAGCTATTGTTACGCGCGCATGTGTGTATGTCCCAAGTAGAAAAATTTCTAGAAAAAACTGGTCACAGACCAGAAACTGGCCAGTTTTTACTATTTTCAATTTATTGGACAGTTACCCTGGTAGAAATTTAGATATGGCGCTAATGGATGCCATGCTGCCATTTCAGGAGCTAGCATGGCAAACTTGTGAGCGCCACACCAGCAACGTCACGTTTTGTCTAGTGGCGCTTCCAAGCGCCTGACGTGCCGCTGCCGACGGTCTAGCCTGGTGCTGCCAGGCAACTGGCTTGGTGTCACCAAGGGACTGGCTTGGCGCATACATGACCCATTACCATGGATAATACATGGCGCTAGTAAGATGCTAGCATGCTACGTACATGGAATCGAAAGGAAACTGGTATGGTGCATATATGGCGCCAGTATGGCGCATATACGGCGCCAGAAAGGGCCTGAGAAGAAAAATTGTAACTGTTCCGATAGTAAACGTAAATCGTAGTCATAGGTCAACGCACAATGATTTTACGTAAACGTATGCCGTATCGTTGTGACGTCAGAGATGATTGATACGACATACGTTTATATAAAATTATTGTTTGTTGATCTACGTACGACTATGATTTACGTTTACGTATTCTATCGGAACAGTTCGACATTTTTTCTGCTCAGGCCCTAAGGCCTGCGACAAGGCACATGTTTTAATCTCATTCTACATAAAATGCATAACAGAACATAAGCACAATATAAGATTGATGGATGAGCATCCAGCATAAAATCGCTTAGTCGATTTACATAAAATGTTCATTGGTCCAGCAGTCTTATGTTGTACTTATGCTTTGTTATGCATTTCATGTAGAATCGAGCTTTATACTTATATGATGCTTGTAGCATATAATGTCTTTAAAAAGGAAGATCGCTAAACTTGTAAATATTTGTAACTCATGCGAAATAACATCCGTATTTCGCATTACAAGTAATTACATATTAAATTGACTACTTTGGCTATATCATTTTATAAAGGCATTTTATACTATAGCGTTACATCGATAGCAAGGTTGTGCTAACACTAATATTGTACAATACAAGCAAGTTACGAAACATATTTTTATTGTGCACTATAATATTATATATATGAACTATAACGTAAAATTATACATATCTGAAAAAATAAACAAAAGTTATTAATCCTTCCTCTATCCATCCCGATTCTTCCTTTGTCCGTCTCGATCCTTCCTGTGCCCGTCCCAATCCTTCGCATTGCTAAGCGAAGAACTTAATGCCTTTAAAAGAAGTTTTGCTGTTGCAATTTCTCCTTGAAATTCATTTTGGAGAATTATGTCTACAAATTGAAATAAGCACAATTTATTAATACACAACAAATTTAGGAACTACTAAAGCTTCTTCAAATTTATTTATGTAATGAAATATTCATGTACCTTCTAGACATGCATACAATTGTTCATCTTTCATGAGGGCTTTTCCAGGCGTGACTTTAGATGCTGTATACTCGATCGCGACATTGCGTGTTATTACCATTTTAATCATAGATGTTATATTTTTGGATAAAGTAGTAGAATAATCTACGTAACGGCGGAGATGCTCACACTAGAAATTAAGTTTATATTAACAAGAGAAATATAACATATAATAAGTATTTTTGAACAAAGTAATTGTGCTTACAAAATTAGATCGAAATTCAGTATCATTGTTGAGACGATCGTTGAAGTTTCTAAAATCTTCTTTATTATTTAAGGGGAGCTTAATATTATATTTTGTTACAAATATATCCACATCTGTATTTTTGTTAGACTGATTTAATATTTTGTTTCTTATTATTTTCATGTCTTGCGAAAGACTCTCTACTTTGATTAATAGCAAATCTAATTCTGAAAGCAAAATGGTCAAATTTAATTAAATGTACGATTTGAATATATAAACAAGACTTTTTTTAAAAGACTTACTAGTATTAAGTTTTGCATTTTCTTTTTGAATTATTTTTTGGAGTTTTGTCCAATGTACGTCTCTATCAGTGACAATGGCTGGACCCAAAATTGCTAATGGGTCATGTACATTTGATTCTATAATTTCATAATTATGTTATGTATCTATATAACAATGTTATAAATAATTTTGTACTAAATTTAAAACCGTTTATGTTATATTATACCTTTATTTGAAACATCGATGTTTTTACATAGAATGGGTAAGTTGTCATCAAGTATGATTTCCAGATAATGGAAATACTAAATCATGATAAAACAGTATTGAATATTGTATCTTAATTATAAATTTGATTTAGAATAAAAGTAGGGAAATACATCGAGATAACACTCGATAATACACGCGTCACATTGCTAATTTGGCAATGTGATCGGAAATCTCATTGTCATACATTAAGAGAGAAAGAAAGAGTGAAAGAGAGAGACTGAGAAAGAGAATAAGAGAGAA